TAGATCACTTTATAGTTGGTGTGATCACTTTATGTACGTTGGTATCTAGGTCTTGATACTCGTTTCGAAAATTTTATCATACATAATAGTTATTAGAGTCAGAGATATTCATTACTTTAACACAAAAGCTTTATTTTATTTGATTTTTTTTTATAAAACAATTTGTTTTTGAATCATACACAAAAGTCGAATCACTTTTATTGATATAATAATGAAAATTTATGAATATATGTAGAACGAAAATAGTTTTTGAAATGTTTTGGAAGTTGAGTAACATAACTAGTAGGTATATAACGTACTTTTGAACAATTAAATTGTGTTTCCATTCTTCTAAAATTATGTGTCACATTTTTCATTGATTGATAATTGCTCAAAACAGTCACATTATATGGTAAATATGTTTTTGTATCAAGTAAAAATTGTTCAATATAATCTTCATGCGCTTGAAAAAAGTCAAGTTCAATTAGACAAGGATATTTAATGATTGGTAAATTTTCATGATGATTACTTGATTTTATACATTGCTTATTATTTAGTCCTGTTTCATTAATTAAACACATTCTTTTCAAAAATGGAAATGATTGAGCAATCCGAAGAAAAAATTCATATTCAAAAGGACGTTCATCATGTAATGATATATAAGAAACATATTTAAATAATCCACCTGGAAAATTATTTGTTATTTTCTTATAATAATTCAATCGATATGGATATGAATAAATATGACATTGACTTTCATTTGTTTTTTCAAAATAATCAACATAAGAAATTATTTGATAATCTTTAAAATATTTGAATGTTTGTTGAATATCTTCATTTGATCGTAAATCAAATTGATCAAAATCTGTGCTAGTTGAAACAATATTAAATGTAAAATTACTTAATTGTGGCATATAATTAATAATATTTGTCTTTAATTCATCACCATCAATAAATTTATTTCTATTAGAAAAAAAATTTAAATCAAGTGTTTTTAAATTCATCATTCGATGTAGAAGTGGTCTAATTTCTTCATCATAATAATCTGTATCATTTTCACAGTGTAACGAGAAGTATCTTAAATTAGGAAGTTTTTCCTAGAAAAAATTAAAAAAATCAATAATATTGATTGATCTGAATAAATTAGGTATACTTTATTATTGATTTTTGACTTTTGTTCAATAAGAGCAATGTTAACCTTAAGTGTATGAAGTTGATTAAAACGACCATCAAGTAAATAAAGACAATCAATAAATCTTTTCAAACTAACATGTAATTCTAATAGAGTTGAAGAAAAAACAGTTGGAGGTAAAACAGTAAAAAAGAAGAATTGTTGAAAATGAATTGATTCTGAATCAAAATCTAAATATTGTAATTTGTCGAATATCATAAAAATTTGTATAAATATATGTTCAATCAAATTTTTTCTTGTTATTTCATTTCCACTTCGAGTAATATGAATAGCAAGTGATGAAATCTTATTTTTGAATTTATGAATTACAGAAGTATTATCTAAATATAAATACATAAAAAAAACAGTTTAATTCTTCAAAATATAAATCAAATTATAAAATAGATTTTTCTTAAAGTCTTTTTTAATTAATTCTCTAGCATAGAAAAAAGAAAATATCTTACCAGTAAACAAATCTTTAGCTTTTTCTATATCAAGATTATATAAACCGAGTCGATATAAATTAGGATAATTTGTAGAAAGAAGAATACGTTCCATAGATGATGATTCAAGATTTAACCAACGAATTTTATCATGAATTTCACGTAAAATTTGACAGCAAAATCGATCAAGTACCGAATCAGGTAATGGATAAATATTACCATGTGAACAAGATATCATTAAATTCAAATAACTGGTAAAAATTCGATCATGCACGATGTTGTTCAATCGTTTATTAACACCCATTAAAGAATAGAGTACATCGACACAACTAATTTTGTTCAAAATATTCATAAGAATCTCATCAGGTAAGTCAGTCAATTCAATCATTGAGCTTGCCATATTTATTTTCACTTAACTGTTTTTTTTT